AGGGGCCATGTGTGGCTCACCCCCATGGCCCCAGGCTCTGCCTGACACAGGAGGCCCTGGACAGATGCTCTAAGAGGGCAGCGTGGGGCAGAGTGATGTGGGTCCACCCCTGCCGATTCTGTGTGACCCTGGACATGTCGTTTCACCTCCTTGATTCTTGGTTTTTCTCAGCTGCAAAATGGGCGGCAACACCATGTCAGGGTGTGAGTCTCTGTCCACAGATTCATTTTGCAGGAAATGCTACTTTGTTTTTCTGTAATTTAACAAAATTTGTAATTTGAAGTCCTATTCTGTCAGGTGGTAGAGATCACCGCAAGTCAACTGAGGGTCCCCTTGCTCTTTGGTAGTGGGGTCGCATCTCAGGTCCAGTGGGCTTCCACAGTGCCGAGGCACAGAGCAGGGCACCTTGGTCTCCACTGATGTGACTCTGTGCTGACTTGCGTGGCAGAAGACCTGACATCATCAGTCAGTGTGCGTCAGAAAGGCCCAGTGACCTAAACAAATGGGCAATGCTTTCCTTCCTTCCCCAGGAAAGAATCTCAGCGGTGGGCAGTCCTGGGTTAATACAGCCACACCAAGCTATCTTTCTGTAAGATCCCTCTGCCTCCTGGATCTGCCATGGCTCCACTCTCAAGCCTGCAGTCCTGCAGGTGGAAGGGAAAATGGGAGGAGAACAGTGCCAGCATTTCCCAAGGGGCTACGCAGGGCATGCCCGCTCACATCCCATTGGTCAGAGCATAAGCACATGACCACATATAGCTGCAAAGGGCCTGGGAAATGTAGTCTTAGAGGACGTAAACTCTGCTTAATATCAGGGTTCTGGCCAGGCGCTGTGGCTCAGGCCTGTAATCCCAGCACTTTGGGAGCCTCAGACAGGAGGATTGCTTGAGCCCGGGAGTTTGAGACCAACCTGGGAAACATGGCGAAACCATTTCTCTACCAAAAAAATATGCAAATTAGCCGGGCATGGTGATGCACACCTGTAGTCCTAGCTACTAGGGAGACTGAGGAGGGAGGATTGCTTGAGCCCGGGAAGTCCAGGCTTCAGTGAACCAAGGTCGCGCTACTGCACGCCAGCCTGGGGAACAGAGCAAGACCTTGCCTCAAAAAATAAAATAAAAATCAGGGTTCCACTACTGAGGACGAGGGGAGAGTGGACGAGGGGATGACTAACAAAGTGTGCAGAGGCACGAGTCTCCAATGCTCTTGGAACCCAAGTCCCCTGTCTTCAGAATTTGTCACCTTCCTCTGCTCAAGACCTCAGCTTGAAGATGGTACAGGGCTTGGGAGGGGAGCTAGTGGAGAAGGAGAAGAAAGAATGTAGACCTCCTCCTGCCCCAGGACACAGTAGAGGCTAAATTCTTTTGTTCTTTATGCATTTCTAGGGTGAACTATTTCAAACCTAAAGTCAAGAATTTAAAATAATACAATAAACATTTGTGTGCCACGATCCTGAATTCAGTGTTGGTTAGTCTCATGTCTTCTGCTCTGAATACATATTTACAAGTAACAAATGCTACAAAATATTGCTTTGCAGGTCCTTGAACTTTATATAAATGGCTCTTACTATATGATTCACCGCGCACCTTGCTTTTTTCCTCTCAGCCCCATCTTTGAGCTGTGTCCACAATGATAACTGTAGCTACCTCAGTCATTTATCATGGCTGGATTGTGTATGTGGTATCTGGCAGTGGTGTATGAATATACCACAATGTATTTATTCCTTTGGCAGAGCGTTAGCTTTTTGCAGTTGTTTGCTATTAAATAATGCTGCAATAAATATCTTTGTCTCTTTCTACACATATACAAGGGTTTCTCTAGGTCAGTGGTTCTGAGAGCGTGATCCCTGGACCAGCAGCATCAATATCACCTGGGAACCTGTTAGAAATACAAATTCTCAGACCTACTGAATCAGAGGTACCAGTGGTGGAACGCAGTGACCTATACTCCAACAAGCTCTCTAGGAGCTGCTGTTGTGCACCAGAGTTTGAGAACTGCTGCTCTAGGGTATACACCAGAAGCTAATTTGCTACATTTAGAAAAGAGACATTAGGCCAGGCGTCGTGTCTCACATCTATAATCCCAACACTTTGGGACCCTGAGGCAGGAAGATCACTTGGGGCCAGATTTCAAGACCAACCTGGGAAACAGAGAGAGATCATCTGTACAAAAAAATTTTTTTAATTATCTGGGTGTGGTGGCACATGCCTGTAGTCCCAGCTACTTAGGAGGCTGAGGCAGGAAGATTGCTTGAGTCCAGGAGTTTGAGGCTGCAGTGAGCTAGGATCATGCCACTGCACTGGAGCCTGGGTGACACAGCGAGATCCTGTCAAAAAAAAAAAAAAAATTTAACACAAAAAAGAAAAGAGACATCTTCAGATTTATTAGGTACTGCTAGATTTTTCCCCAAAGTTGACACTCTTATCTAAGGTGAAAAGGTGAAGGTTTCCTCTCATTCTTGCCAGCTCTTGGTAGTATCAGAATCTGAATCTTTTGCTGAGTAAGAAGTCTGGACTCTGCTAAATTCTCAGTGGATGTTCTTATCTCTCTGACTCTGGGAATCCCCCTTACAACATCACACTTGCTCTCTGCCCTCAGGTGCCTGCCAGGTATGCAGCTCCAGAACACAAAAATCTTTATTCTGCTTTCCTGTTGCAGTTTCTCATCCCAGGGCAAGAAAATTGAGGGCATTGCCAACTTTGGCTGGGAACAGGATCCCAGGGTACACGTTAGTACCCTGGATCAGTCAGGCTCCTGAGTTATAAGCCACAGAAATAGGGTTATCAGCAGGATGTGGGGCCTCCCCGAATCCAAGGAACGGAAGATGAGGTTTGGGGACGTAGCAGTACTCATCCGAGAGTTGGAGCAGGAAGGAAGGAACAGAGGGACTGAGGGATGGAAGGGTGAGAGAAAGGCCTCAGCCAGGGCTAGGCAGAGAGCCTGCTCTGCCTCCACCATGAACCCCATTTCTGTGTGACCCTCACTCTTGAGTCCCACTCCCAGGACTGGAGTCACCAGAATGTGTATCTGGCCAGACTTTCGCTAGCTCTTACCTGCTGCCAACTTAAAGAAGGGCCAGACCTCTTTTGGTTTCTGTTCCGGGGGAAGGTGCCAGGATGTGCTCCCCATCAGGACCTCGCACAATGGGGAATTCCTCTAAAAGGGAGATGGGGCACCAGTAGGAAGAGGGGAGCATCTGGGAGCTGGAGAGCTAAGAATGTTTCCTGCTGGGTGGTCTTGGGGCTCAGATGAATCAAGGCGCTAACCGGATTATGAACCAGTCTGACCCTAATGACAGATAAACATGAAACCATTTACTGTTTCCCCAATTGCCACCTCTCAAAAGCTGCACTATCCTTTCCTGTCACTTAATGACACCTGGTCATTTTCTGACTCTCCCCCACCTCCTACTCCCAGTGGTCTCCCCTGACGCCTCATACTGCTGGGGCACGTCCCAGCAACCAGCCCTCTTGTGCCAGGCAGCAGGAATACCACCTAAGCCCGGCTACTCCCAAGGTGCCCCTAACCACTGAGAAACCCCTCACGCGTGCCGGGAAGGATGTGCAGCCTCTTCTACCACACTCTCCCCCTCATCTCCGCCCTTCTGTCTCCCGGTCTCCTTTGTCTGCTCAAAGAGGAATGGGAAGGGGGCAGATTCACAGGACTATGGACATGAGTTTATGTCCAAGCAAGACACGAGATGCTGGCACCTTCTCGCTAGCACCTCTTGTCTTTGTAAGTTTCTCTGGCATCTCCTCACTTCGTTGGGAGGGTTGGGAACAGAGGAAAAGTCACAGCACCACAACTCACTTCTTTTTATTTTCTTCTTTTTTGGAAACATGGCTTCATTCTGTCTCTCAGACTCGAGTACAGTTGCACAAACACAGCTCACTGCGGCCTTCCCAGCTCAAGTGATCCTCCTACCTTAGCCTCCCAAGTAGCTAGGACTACAGGTGTGTGCCACCATACCTGGCTAATTTTTGTATTTTTCTTGTAGAGACAGGGTCTCGCCATATTGTCCAGGCTGGTCTCAAACTCCTGGACTCAAGCAATCCTCCCACCTTGGCCTCCCAAAGTGCTGGGGTTACAAGCATGAGCCACTGTGCCTGGCCAGGCTGTCAATTCCTAACTCCCATGAGTTCCTCCCTGCAAGTGTTCAGCTTAATCAGCGTCCTGGGGTGATGGTCAGGGTAACAGAGACTCCTTATGAGCCTGGGAAAGCTCACTTAAGATTCTAGAGCACTTTCCACCTCTTTTTCCCCAGCTTTGACTCCTGAGTACCAATTCTGGGGCAACAAAAATTTTTCTCCTTAAATACATTTATCCCATTGCTATTCCTGATGATGGTGGGAGCCCTTGCTGATGGTGACAGTGAGAAATGGAGTACTGTTGAGTATTGTTCAGGAATCCAGCAAGAGGGTGAGGGTCTCACCCCACCCCGCTCATGCGTGTGCACCCACACACACTCACACTTTACTTTGGTAAAGATTAAGTTTGCTTGTGAGTAATGGAAAACTCCAAATAACAGTGATTTAAGCAAGGTAGATGTTGATTTCTCTCTCATGTAACAGTCTACACAGGCCGGCTAGGGCTAGTACAGCAGTTCTGCCTTCCTCAGGGACCCAGGTGTTTTTTATCTGATTTTTCCACCACCTCACAGGACACAGTTTCCACCTCATGATCTAAAATGGCTGCTTGTGCTCCAGTCATTGTTCACATTCCACCCAACAGAAAGGATGAGGGGATGACAAGGGGCACACCCCTGCCCTTTAAGGCAGCTTTCTTGAAGTGGCACATGCTACTTTACCTTACATCTGATGGGCCAGATTTTTGTCACATGACCATATTTAGTTGTAAGGGAAGCTGGGAAATGTAGTCTTTTGTTTGGGTGGCCGTGTGCCCAGTTGCTATCCCAATGAGACCATCTCAGCTGTTCATATATATGGTTTGACCATCTCTCTCTCCCTTTCTCCCTCCTTCTGTCCTGGTCTGGCGGGCAGTGGGCACTGGCCTGGGGGGCAACTGCACGGGCTGTATCATCTGCTCAGAGGAGAATGGCTGTTCCACCTGCCAGCAGAGGCTCTTCCTGTTCATCCGCCGAGAAGGCATCCGCCAGTACGGCAAGTGTCTGCACGACTGTCCCCCTGGCTACTTCGGCATCCGCGGCCAGGAAGTCAACAGGTGCAAAAGTACGTGGCTTCTCCCTTGTTCTATGCTAGTGCTGGGCTCCTAGACACGGCGGGCTTAGATCCCGCCCTCTCATCTCAACACAGACAGCAGGGAAGTTTAAGCCCAGACGCTGAGATACATGCCTGCGTCCAGGCTGGCTCTGCAGCCTAAGGCAAGTCTGTCCCCTCTCAGCCTTAATTAGCACTAATAGAGCAGGGAACTTTCACTTCTACCCTAGTTTGTAGTGTGGCCTTAGTCATGTAACTCACCTTCTCTGGTCCTAGCCCAAATAGGAAAAGGAGTCCTAATTCCAGGCTCTAATTTTTGCTGTAACTTTGGGCAAATCATCACTATTTCTGATGTGAAAAAGAAGCAGGGAGTCCTCACTCCAGCCCTGATTTACCGGTGACTTCAAGCAAGTCACTCACTCTCTCTGAGCCTCCCCTCAAATGAGAAAGGGAGTTCTCTTCACATACAGCCCAGTTTGACCTTGGCCAAGTCTGGGCTTCAAAGGAGATACTGAGTCCTGACACAAATGCTACCAAGCCTGGTACTACCCAGAGGCCCTCCCACCTCGGGCAGACCCAGTGGGCCCCATCCTTGGCAATCTCCCTCACCCAGGGTATCCCTGGCTCTGTTACAGAATGTGGGGCCACTTGTGAGAGCTGCTTCAGCCAGGACTTCTGCATCCGGTGCAAGAGGCGATTTTACTTGTACAAGGGGAAGTGTTTGCCCACCTGCCCGCCAGGCACTTTGGCCCACCAGAACACACGGGAGTGCCAGGGTGAGTGACCTCCCCGCCCTGACCCTGCCCCCCACCTCCCTGGAGTGGGGGCTTGGTGAGAGGTGTTGGGGGCCTGGAAGAAATCCCAGTAGAATGCCATATGGTTAGGGGAGGCCGAGCACCACCGTGTCAGGTACACCAGATACCTACACATAGTAACTGTGTTACACTAGAGCCAATGTAACCACCATTACTATGATTACTACTGCAGCCAACACTGGCATCGTTGTTAATGCCAAGGAAATCATCAGAGTGCAGAAGAAGAGCACTGATTTTTGTTTGTTTCTTTGTTTGTTTGTTTTGTTTGAGATAGGGTCTTGCTCTGTCGCCCAGCTGGAGTGCAGTGGCATGATCATAGCTCACTGCAGCCCCAAACTCCTAGGCTCAGGGAATCCTCCTGCCTCAGCCTCCCGAGTAACTGGGACCACAGGCATGTACCACAACAGCTGGCGATGCGTTTATGTTTTTGCAAAGACAGGCTCTTGCTATGTTGCCCAGGCTGCCCCTGGGACTCAAGCAGTCTTCCCACCTCAGTCTCCCAAAGCACTGGGAGTACAGGTATGAGCCACCACACTGGCTGAGCACTGATTTTAGAAAAGGACGGGCCTGGGGTCCAATCCTAGCTCTAAACCTTACCCTTTAGTGATCTTAAGCAAACCACCTCAGCTCTCTGTCCTTCAGTTTCTCCAAATGTTAAAAAAAAAAAAAAAAAGACAATAGAACATAGAGCCTACCTCGTGGGGAGGAATTGTTATGAGGATTAAGTGAATTAGTACAATTTAAAGTGCTCAGTACAGCAGCCAGCACACAGTAGGTGCTCAGTACATGTCAGTATCAGTGTTATTACTGCTCTGATTATTTCCTGACAGCTCATTGTCATACTCCTGCCTGTGAGTCCTCTTCTGTCCCTGGACTAGGCTGCTCCTTGGCATTCTCATCTAAACTGTGCATCTCTGCCCACGCATTCCCTCCAGGCTCACATTCATGGTCATTCCAGCTGCTGATGGCCCCTGACTCCGTGTCTCCAGCCTCCCTGAGCAGCAGACCCTTACCTCCACTGCCCCCTGGGTTCCTTCTTTCCACTCCCACCACCACCGTCCACCGCCTAACGCTTCCTCTGGGTTTCCTCTGGGTTTCAATAACCAGCTCCCTGATCCCTGGGTGGCCATGCCTGAGATGCAGACATCACTGTTGACTCTTCTCTCTCCCTCACCCTCTATTCAGTCCAGTCTGTTCATGTATTCACTCCGAAAATATCTACTGGAGCATCTGCTATGGCCAGGCACTTTCCTAGGCGCTGGAGACATGTTAGAGAACAAAACAAAGCCTCTGCACTCATGGACTTGGCATTTCAGTGGAGAGACAGAAGCGACACCCAAGAACAAATGCATAATATTTTGGGTGGCAGGAGGAACTTTGGGGGGAAAAAGAAGCAGCACAAAGCTCCCAAACCCACACCATCCAGCTCATCCCTTTCTCCCCACCCCAGCCCCACCCATTTGTTTCTCCCCTCTGTGCCCTGCTCTTCCCGCCTTCTCACCACCCCCTGCCTATTGCCAGGATTCTGGCCACAGCTCCTGCCCGTCTCCTGCCTCAGCTCTCAGTCCCTCCAACCCACTCTCCACTCAACAGCAGAGGGAGTATTTCAAAATGACAGTCTGCTCAATTTCTTTTCCTCCCAGGACCCTTCAGTGGCTCCCACTGCCCTCGGGCGGAGTTTACCCAGGACCTGGGCAATCTGTCCCATCTGCCAGTCTTTCCACCCCCAACATTTTTTTCCTCCTCCATTTGAGCTCATTCTCTGGCCTGCCCAGTTCCGGGCCAAATCATCTTGGGGACTGTGGTGGGGTTATGCCTTCACCCAGAGCACCTCCTGTCCCTCCCTGAGCCTGACTAGGCTCCCCTTCCCTGCCATCCCACCCCCACTTCAAGACCCAGTCCAGGAGTTTCCTCCCCTAAAACCCAACCCATGCCGCCTCTGGGGTCCCACAGTGCCTGCGCTTCCCTCATCACGGCGGTGTCCAGATGGTGAATTCCAGGAGGCCTGCAGACCCTGGTCTGTCTTGTCTGCTGCTGCTCCCTCAGCACCCAGAATAGCGCCTAGCACACACTGGGTGCTCAGTCTTTACTTGTCAAACGTGTGCATCTAACAAGGTCTGGGCCCCACTGCGTCTTCAACTTGCTGTGTCTGCTGTGTGAGCCTCTTGCTGCGTTCCCTTAGCAAATCCCTGCTCTAGGCCTCAGTGTCCAGATCTACAAAAATAGGAGTATTCACAGCTACTCGTATTCTGTGCCTACTTCTCATGGACTTTTAAAATAATCAAAGTATATGTGTGTGTGTGTGTGTGTGTGTGTGTGTGTGTGTGTGTGTGTATTTTAATTACCCCCTATGAAGAACTTTTATGTCCATGGCCTCCTTTTTCCTCCTTCCAAAGTTGATTAAAGACACATGATCAAGTCTAAAACCTGTGTCTGGGTCCTGAGGACTTCCCAGGTGACCTTCCAGCCTCCTCTCCTGCCCCCACTTCCTGAGACTTCACTGCCAACTCATGCTGCCCCATCTCCCAAACATGGTGGGCCGGGCTCCCACGGCTTTACATACTTGCCTGGAATGGGCTTCCTTCTTCTCACCTGATGAGCTTCCCTCTCTCCCTTTCACTCATACATCATCTCCTCCAGGAAGCCTTCCCCTTTAAAGCTAAGCAGTCGGCCACTCTGTCTTCAGGCCCATATTAGTCTGTGCATGCATTAGCTTAGCTCTCATTCCAGGCTCTTATAAATAACTTTTAAATGTCCCCCCTCTGCTCCTAGCAGGTGGAAGTGGTGTCTTCAGTCTTCAGAGAGCTGAACCCCTCAAACCCTGCCCTTATTCTGTGCCTACTGAAGGACCCTCACTGCCGGCTGACCCTGTCTGTCTGTCTCTCCTTTCACTCCACAGGGCAGTGTGAACCGGGTCCCTGGGGCAGCTGGAGCCCCTGCGCGTACAACGGAAAGACCTGCGGCTCGGCTTGGGGCCTGGAGACCCGGGTACGAGAGGCTGGCCGGGCTGGGCATGAGGAGACAACCACCTGCCAGGTGCTTTCTGAGTCAAGGAAATGTCCCATCCAGAGGCCCTGCCCAGGAGGTGAGCCCCAGGACAGGCACATGAGGCTGTGGTGGGAAAGGCCCACAGGGACAGAGTGGACTCAGGACACTGCCCCACAAATAGTACCTATGAGACTGCCTGAAAGGCCACCATTAGCCATGCCATCATGCAGAGTACACATCGTCTTCCCTGGTGTCCTTTCAAAGGAGGACCTTCCTTGCTGGGTTCAGTCCCAAATACATTAGGGAAATTGAGCTGGCCAGGAGTTCCCAACCCTCTCAAACTGAACACCCCCCTTTTAATAAGAAGGATTTGGGAATACCTTCTATACCATTCTTAATGAAGTTCATGGAGAATGTAGCCTACTTACAAAGTTAAATTTTTTTATCGGTATAGTGCCCTAACTGTAATATAGAGGAGAAAGAAAAGAAATTTCATGAAAGCGCTTGGCCCAACATACCAGCGGACACTTAGGGAAGCACAATCCCAGCGAAGACTGCAGCCGTGGTCAGCGCCCCAAGTGCGTGGCCGCATTGCCATCAGAGATGCGATTTCCCAAAAGTGACCAACCGTTAGTAAGGTCCAACCAAACTGATCTCTGATTGACACCACACTCGCAGTGCCCTAGAGTCTTCAGTGAATGCAAGTGTTCGAAATCACTTGGCAGTCATGAGTAAAACAGAATTCAGCTCCCAGCAAGCAGACTTTTCAGCTACATGAGGGTGGGGCACGGTGTGAGAGAACTGGATGGAATGGGGGACAACTCGTCTTTGCGGGGGACTGTCCCACACTGCATCCCGATTGCTGTCCACTGAATGCCACAGGAACCCCCTTCACTGTGGCATCCAAGACCACTACACGTATTTCCAAAATGTCTGGGAGCTATTAAGGACCACTGATTTACATAGAAGAGAAGCCACAGGGTGTGTTTGGTAAGATGTGAATGGTGAGTAGTAATTACGCGGAATTGGCAGTGTTGACTGGGCACTGTGCCAAATTCTCTATAATCGTTACCTCATGTAATCTTCACAATGATGCTGTGTGGTAGGTGTTACTAACATTATCCCCATTTTACAGATGAGGGGACTGAGGCCCAGAGAGGTTGAGTCATTCACCTAAGGGTCACAAAGCCAGGGAGCTGTGGACCTAGAATTCAAACATAACTCGTCATGCAAACAGGAATCTAAAGTCATGATGAAGGATGAGGGACCTGGAGCCAGGCCACCCGGGGCACCCAGGTGGGATGTAGTGGAGCCAGGATTTGAACTCAGGGACACTCCTCTTTCAGAAGGACTTGTGCTGTTTGGGTTGGGAGTGCAGATAGCAGAGATGGGAGCCTTTGGGAGTCATACTGGGCAGGTGAGGACGGAGTGAGGTTGAGATGGAACCAGAGAACCAGAGCCAGGGAAGCACTCACACAGGAGGCAGACAGTTCTCCCGCACTCATTACCACATCGCACCTCTCATGGCTCCAAGAGCTGGGGGTGAATGGCTGTGGGGGGGTCATGAGGGGAAAACTCTTCCCCCAGATAATAATAATCACAACAACAGCAAACATTCGTAAAGCACCTACTATGTGCTGGCTGTGCTCAGTGCTGTAAGACGTGACTCAAATCCTTGCAACAACCCCACTGTAGCTCCCTGCATCATCCAGGTCTCGGCTGCAGCGGCTCCTCCTCAGAGAGGCTTCCCATGAGTCCCCCTCCCAGGAGTCATTTTCCATCGTATCACATGGTAGCACTTGCACCCTTCTGAAATGAGCCTGCTCATTCTCGCGTTTGCTTTGTTCAGTGTTTGTTTTCCTTCCTAGAGTGTGATCTCCAGTGAGGGCAAGGGCTTTGTCTGCCTTATTCACAACTGTCTATCTAGTGCCTCTAACAGAGTCTGGCACATAGTCGGTGTCCAGTTAATACTTGTTGGATGAGTGGATGGATGGGTGGGTGGGAGGGTAGATGGCTGAGTGCACAGGTGGCTGAGTGGGTAGGTAGATGGGTGGATAGGAGGGTAGATGGGAGGGTAGATGGGTGGATGAGTAGGTAGGTGGATGATTAGGTGGGTGGGTAGGTAGGTCTGTAGGTGAACAGGTGGATGGATGGGTGATGGGTGGGTGCCTAGGTGGATGGATGGTTCATTGGGTATGGAGGTGGGTATGGAGGTAAGCAGATGAGTTAACAGGTGGACGGCAATTCAGTGGATGGCAATCGGGTAGGTGGGTAAATAAGTGGAGGGATGGGTGGGTGACTGTATGGGCACATGGGCAGCTGTCAGGCAGGCCTAGGGAAGGGGTAGGGACACAAAGCCACTGGCCCCCACACCCCCACATCAGAGCTGGCAGGGCCACTCAGGCAGCACCCACACCCCATCTCCAGATGCAGTCCTACCTGAGGCCTGCAGAGTCCGCTCCGCAGCGCAGAGTGGGAGTTGGCTTCAGTGCTCCCCAAGGGCTCAGAGTGGGCATGGGGAGTCCCAAAAGTGGGCAGCCTGGCCTTAGCTCCTTGACTCTGCTCTGCAGAGGAAGGAGCCAGGACTGGAGCCACAGTCCTGACTCTTGGGGAGACAGGTACACAGTTGACACCTAAGGAATAAAACTGCCCTTCCCTTGCCACTAGGCTGGGAGGGTCTCTAGCGGCCTAGCTGCACACCTTCAGAAAGTGACTTGTGGAGCCTCAGGTTCATCGTGTTCAAATGGACACACAGCTCCTTGCGGGGAACTGAAGGGGGCCCAAGCAATGTAGAAGAATGTCCTGGGTGTGGAGACACTTTGTAAAGCAGAAACTTAGGGCTGACCTCGCTCCCAACCATGCTGTGGTCTTCTCACCTGTCAATAACAATGACAAGCAACTGCTCAGAAGAACTCCCCGGGCAGCAGGCACAGCCAGAATGGAGGTGGAAAGAATAAAGGAAATAAAGAAGAAAAAGAAAGGAAAGGTAGACTGGCACAGAAAAATGATAGAAGGGTGGAGAGAAAGAGAGGACAATTGTAGAAGACGGGACTGGGTGCGGCTCAGACCCTGCCTGCCTCTCCCGGCTGTCGTGAGTTTCATATACATAAAGTGCTTGGGGCTGTGACCTGCATACGGTGAGCATTTGCTAAATGCTCAAGTATTGTTGCCACAGTGTTATGGAGAAGTTGGTGCAGGGACACAGATGAAAGGTGCCCAGTGTCCAGCACAGAGCCTGCTTGGCTATGGAAGGAGTGTGCCGGGGAAAGCCATGGGACTCCCATGAGGCCACCCTATGTGCTGACTGGGGGGCCCCAGGTGAACCTGCAGGCCTGGCCAAGCCAGATCTCCAGCACAAAAGGGCCCTGAGCAAGTTAGTGGCCCTCAGCACTCCCTGAAGAACTAGAGAGAAAGGTTCAGTTTGGGGTAACTTAGCCCGCGGTCCAAACTCTCAACAGGAGGGACTGCAAGGTCAGTGCCTAAATGTTCTTCTGAGCCTCGTTGTTGAGGAGTGAGTGGGGCACCCTTGTCTTTGAGGACTGAGGAGGCTCCCAGGACCTAACTGGCCCTGCAGCCTTGGTCACCAGGCCCTGTGCTCTCGTTGCAGAGAGGAGCTCCGGCCAGAAGAAGGGCAGGAAGGACCGGCGCCCACGCAAGGACAGGAAGCTGGACTACAGGCTGGACGTGAGGCCGCGCCAGCCCGGCCTGCAGCCCTGACCACCGGCTCTCCCGGCTCTCTGGTCCTAGTCCTCGGCCCCTGCACACCTCCTCCTGCTCCTCCTCCTCTCCTCTTACCCTTCCTCCTCCGTCTCCTCCATTTGTCCTCTCTTTCTTTCCACCCTTCTATCATTTTTCTGTCAATCTACCTTCCCTTTCTTTTTCTTTTTTATTTACTTTATTTCTTCCACCTGCATTCTCCTCTCCTTTCTTCCTCCCTCCTTCCCTTCTTTCCTCTTCTTTCTTACTTATCTTTTATCTTTCTTTTTCTTCCTGTGTTTCTTCCTGTCCTTCACCACGTCCTTCTCTCTCTCCCTCCTCTTCTCTCCCTCTCACACACACTTTAAGAGGGACCATGAGCCTGTGCCCTCCCCTGCAGCTCTCTCTAACTACAACTTAAAGAAAGCAAACATCTTTTCCCAGGACTTTCCCTGACCCCACCTTTGCAGAGAAAGGGTTTCCAGAGGGCAAAGCTGGGGCACAGCAAGGGTGAGTCCTGAGGGCCTTGCTTCTGCTCTGGGGGAGGCTCCAGGACCCTGAGCTGTGAGCACCTGGTTCTCTGGACAGTCCCCAGAGGCCATTTCCACAGCCCTCAGCCACCAGCCACCCCGAGGAACTGGCTGGGCAAGGCTCCAGGGCTTCCAGAGGCCTGGCCTGGACACTTCCCCCAGCTGGCCATGGGGGCCATGACCTGGCCTCTGGCTGGGCTGCCAGCCCTGGGCCAGCCAGGTCATCCTCTGCACGCTGCCTGCCACCCTCATCAGCACTCCCCGACAGGCCTCCGTCTCATGGGTCCCATGCCCCTTTCTCCCAAGCTGGATCAGGTGAACTGTCACTGCTGGGGGATCCACCTGCCCAGCCCAGAAGAGGCCATTGAAATGGAAAGGAAAGCTGAGATTATCCAGCAGCTCCGTTCCCCACTTCAGCGCCTCCTGCCCATATGGGGAAACAGGCCTGAGAAGGAAGGGGCTTGCCCAGGGTCACACAGGAAGCCTTCAGGCTCTGCTTCTACCTGACGGCTCTGCTCAGCACATTCACGGCTGAGAAGAGACTTTGGGGGTCATTTGAGGGGGGAAATATAGGAAATTGTGGGTTGGGAGCAAGGCAAAATCCACGCACTCGCCCATACCCACCACCACCACCGCACTCGCCCACACCCATCACCGCACTCGCCCACACCCACCACCAGTGACTTGAGCATCTGTGCTTCGCTGTGATGCCCCTCACCCTAGTCAGGAACGACGCTGGGAGGAGTCTCCAGGTCAGACCCAGCTTGGAAGCAAGTCTGTCCTCCCTGCCTGTCCTTCTGCCATCATAACACCCTCTTCCTGCTCTGCTCCCCTGAATCTTCAGAAAGGGGATTTGTATTTGCTGTGACTGGCTGGCCTGAACACACAGGGCTCTGTGGCTGGGACAGGAATGGGCAGGAGAAGCCAGAGTCGGAGCTCCAAGGGGCCCAGGAGTGGCCTGGGGAAGGAAGGTGGTCAGCAGGCTGGGGGAGAGGCTCTAGGTGACTAAATATTACATCCCCTACCCCAAGAGAGCACCCACCCTCAGACCTGCCCTCCAACTGGCAGCTGGAGAGCCCCTGGCTGACCCTCCCCAGGCCCACCCTCTCTGTGACTTCCCTCCTCTCACCTCCCTGAGAACAGTTAGAGCCCCTCCTTCGCCTGGCCAGGCCACCGGCTTCTCTTCTGCAACAGTTTGTGCCTCTGAAATGCTCTGTTGTTATTGTTTCAAGACCCTAACATTTTTTAAAAATTTTTTTAATAAAGGGAAAAGAAATTTGCAAATGCTTCTTGAGCATCAAGAGGGTGTTGCAAAACCATGATACTGATGAGTTTGGAGTAGCAGAATTTAAAACATGTGCAGTGGTTTTCACAGGAATGCTTGGGGCTGAGAGGGGTCAGGGTGTATTGGGGATGGGGTGGGGTTTCAGCTTGGGGGGAGCTGACAAAAGAGGACAGGCCCTTAGCCCCTCCAGGCCACTCTCAAGAAGCAGGTTCAGCCAGAGGCAGAAGAGGGTAACACCTCGAGCCCCAGAACCTCGCAGTCTCACGAGCCACATGTCTCAGGGACCAGGGGCACCTAGGAGGTTGACAGTCCCACAGGGCCATCTAAACACCCTGGGCTGCTAGTGAGAGTGGCCTTGGCATTGGGAGGCACAGTTGGGAGCTCCAACCTGTCACCAGCTATCTGGTAGGGTCTAGGTCAAGTCACTTCCACTTCCCGGGCCTCAGTTTCCCCATGTGTTGAAGAGGAAGCATGACTAGATTGAATCTGTTGCCAAAATCTGGAAGACCCAGCAACAGCATCCCCTGGAGAGCTTTTTGGAAATTCAGATTTTAGGGCCCTCCCCCAGATCTATTCATTGCGAACACGTTTAGGAGCAAACATTCATTCAAGGACAAGCTGAGGGGAGAAGTGGCTCTCAGATGACTTCCAGCTCAGAGAGCTGAGTCTAGATTTGTGCCTGCAATTCTGATTCTGACCTCAAGGCTCAACGATCTGATGCTATAGAGTTTAGTGTGTATGTGTGTGTGTATGTATATGTATTTTTTAATTTTTATTTTTATTTTGAGGCAGGATCTTGGTCTGTCACCCAGGTTGGAGTGCAGTGGTGCAATCACAACTCACTGTAGCCTCAAACTCCTGGCCTCAAGCAAGCCTCCTGCGTCAGCCTCCCAAGTAGCTGGGACTACAGGCATACACCACCACACCCAGCTAATTTTTAATTTTTTTTGTAGAGATGGGGTCTCGATATGTTGCCCAGACTGGTTTTGAACTCCTGGCCTCAAATGATCTTCCCACCTCAGCCTCCCAAAGTGCTGGGATTACAGGCATGAGCCACCATGTCCAGCCCATATATAAATAAATACACACACACACACACACACATACATACACTATATAGTGTTTCCTGTTAAGATTCCAATTGTACGATGCTGAGCATTCTAATTTTCACAATTCTAAAAGACCAAGATAAGAGTGGAAGTTTCCAGTCCTGCAATCCCCTGGCCATGTTCCTTCCCCTCGGGGGGCCTGGTCCTCTGTCCTCAGCTGGGGGCTGTGGCAGTTTTTTAATATTTTCAGATTACAAGATGAAATTTCGTCAGGGCCCAAGCCCCTCCTATAACCTTTCCATCTCAGACAGTCCCTGTCCCCCAGCTCCAATTCTTTCAAATCCCAGCCTCTCCCACGTTCTCTGGAGGATTGAGGCACCTCTCTGGGAAGGAAACCCTGCTGTCAGGTGGGCATCATCCACTCCCTTCTTACAAGCCAAGCTTGGAGAAGTTCACAGAGAAGCTCAGAAACAGGGTGGGGTCACACAGCCAAAGAAAAGCAGTCTGGGCAGAGCCCAGGGGGAGGTTCCGCTGCTATGGACCTTCCGGATGCTATGCCAGCGGGAGAGAACAACCCCTTGGCCAGAGATGAGGAATCCCTGCTGGGTTCTTCCTGTCACCGCTTCCAACTGGGCCACACTAGGGCCCTCTCTGCAGATCCCCCCACCTGCTCACTCCATCCTCATCCTTGCCTGCCTCACCCCAGCCCTGCATGTCATTCCCACATTCTGCCACTGGACGGCGCCAATCAATTAGGAACAGGTCGCAGCCAGGCTTGTAAAGGAGCGCATTTCTGAAACGGGGACTTGTTGCTGTTCTCTCCTAGCAGGACTGGAGCAGGTTGGAGGGCAGCGGAGGGCAGGGGACAGGCTGCCTCAGATCGAAGGACTGACTGCCTCAGGCTGAAGGATAATAGTTGCAATGAGGACTTCAGCCGAATTGCCTTCTCAGCTGTGTAGAGAGTGTCAGACTCACAGGTCCCTGTCTCAGGCCTTTCCTTGCACAGAAGGGAAATCTGACTCAGAGGATGACCCAAGCCCAGCATCCCCGAGTGAGTCACTGCAACATGACCTCCTGCCCAGACATCTGGCCCAGGTGACCTGTGGGGATTACACCTCTCCATTTTCACTTGGAAGAAAATTTCTTTTTTCTGTCTTTTTTTTTTTTTTTTTTTTTTTAAGATAGATAATAGCTCTGTCGCCCAGACGAGGTCAGTGACATGATCCCGGCTCACTGCAGCTTCGATCTCCAGGGATCAGGTGATCCTCCCACCTCAGCCTCCCGAGTAACTGGGACTACAGATGCACACCACAACACCCAGCTATTTTTAAAATTATTTGTAGAGACAGAGTCTTGCTATGTTGCTTAGACTGGTCTTGAACTCCTGGGCTCAAGTGATCCTCCTGCTTCAGCCTCCCAAAGTACGGGGATGACAGGTGTGAGCCACTGCACCCAGCCCAGAGGAATATTTCAAGCCATCCTATGTGGACCTTCTAACTCAGGAAATGTGCATTCTTATAATATAAATAATAGTAATGATGAGGATGAGGATGATGACATCATCTTATATTTATGGAGCACCTATTATGCACCAAACATTGCTAAGTATTTCAGGTGCAGTATCTACTTTCCTTTGCTTTTCTCTCCTCAGCATAAATCATGACTACCATTTTTCTACCAATTCCTCTTACTAACCTCGCATTTCCCACCTATCTCCTGCCACCTTCACAGCTCCATTGCCAGCTAACTTCTAGGAGGAAAAACAGGCTCAAGTTCAAGTCATTCGAAATCCATCAGTCTCACCCATTCATTCATTCAGTGAATATGCATAAAGTGCCTGCTGTGTGCCTGGTACTGTGCTGGGTGCTGGTGATAAAGACCCTGCCTTGTCCTCCAAGCATTCAGTCTGCAGACAGTCAATCCCAACAATGTGATAAGACCTTCCATGAGTTCAGGATCTAGCATGTTCCATCTAAGGCATACAGGGGTTAGGGAGCTCCTCCTCCAGGACCAGATAGCCGAGCTGAGAACTAAAGAGTGCGAGGTGTTAATGAGATGGGTAGGGAGGGGGAGCAAACAGCACTTGCAAAATTCTGGAGAAGCTACTAATTGGGGCGCTAGCCCTGGAATTTCTAAGCCTCCTAAACTGTCAGACTTGGAACATGTGGACTCAGCCCGGGGTCTGATGGCTCCCACTCAGCCCCCCACGACTCCCATAGCCATAGCCAACCTACCATCCCCAAGGTGGAATGGATCCTGCAGTCAGACTTGCAGCTGAAGAAGCCTTCACACAAGTGGGTGTCCTA